TTTGTAAGTGTAACAAAAAGAAACGCTATCAATCAATACAGGAACTATAACCAAATTGTTAATTAATTCAGGTAGCATACAAATACCCAAACACTTTCTCGCAGCAATGAAATTTCCTGTTAGACCAAAAGGACTTTTTTCCAGAGCACTTGAGTTCTTGTAATAACCCAAACATAACCTACATCTATTTCTCGACAAAAATTGCAAACAGTCGCTAAGATAGTATGTCCATGAAATAAATTTTTTTACATGGCATTACATTTATGCATCCATCAGTTGCTATCATTATAGCCCAGGGAGATTTTTATCGCTTTTTAGCTTTTCTTATTCAATGCTGAAAAACTTATGATTCTTTAGCACTCGAAAAAATTTTTAATGCTTTTAAATTTTCTTCGGAAAATATCTACCTTAAGAAAAGAGAACCTGTAATTTGCTAAAGCAGATTGAACGAAATGGTAATATACCCAGGTAATGTTTTTTTTCGGGAAGCAAATGTAGGAGATCATCTATTACAGGCTGAATTCTAATTTCTTATGCCTACAGGAAAATTGAGGGATGGTTGAATTTAAACATTTTTTCTACCAAAGCTTATCAAACGCAGAAGGAATGGATCTATTAATAATCTGAACAACAAAGTGCTCAATTGCAAGGCGTCATAATTTAAAATTAAAATTAAATATTTTTCATAATAAGTAATGATAAAAATATGAATCAGGAGAAATGAAACAAAGCGGATATCAAGCGGTTCGTTTCACAACATCTTGTTATGCCTATGATAACTGCTTTAATCTTATTAAAACCGTAACAATAAATCGGAAATATATGAGATGCAATTCACATTGGACAGTGGATGCTACGTATTGAAAATAACTTTCAAATATATACGGCATGAAAAACAACTTATAAATTTCAAGAATAACATGTAAAATTATAGGCATTTCAAAAACCAGATTAACCTAAAACATGATCAAAGCATAAAATTAATTGAGGAATCCAAAAAATTGTCTGAAAACTGATACCTTCACTTGAAAGAAGTAGGCCTCTCGATGTACGAATTCTCAAGGAAGACCAAGTAACCTGGAAGTTATAAAAACCAATTTACACCAATTTGACATAACGGATGAGAAACTTTGTAAGAGTCATAAACATGAAAATACCGACATTCCTCTCAAAAGAACCCGAAATATGATACTGGTAATAAATATCATTCATCCTTATAGCTTTAAGTATAAATTCCTAGCTACTTTCAAAGTATAAAAGAATGGATGTATGGCTGAAATAATCAAATACGATTCAAAAAATTAAGCAAGCCTTGAAAGTATACTAAGCGTTTCGCGTTCCAAGTATCTATATTATTACTTTGGCAATAGATTGGTGATATGCATGCTGTAATGGAAAAAGAGTACTCAATAACTTAAATAAAATAAAGCTGTGGTAAGTTCAAGTAATTCATTACTTGCAAATAATTTGACTAATTGAAGTCAATTGGAGTCATTTAAAAAAGAAAAATCCCATTATTCTCTCACAAAGCGATCTGTACAGAAAAGGAGACACACAAATACCTGATTACGCTGTGGATTACGCGAATGACGTCGTTTCAAACAACTGCTCCGGCCACATCCACTAGATGAAGCACCTTCCGATTCGCGTTTATCGAATCTTTCTGAAAGGTTCAAAGATCTATACACTTAAATTTAAATACAACCCATAACCACTGTAACATACCGATTCCATTTTTTCATCGGACGCTTTGCGTTCGAATTCATATAATCATAACGCTTACGTGTGACCGGTGAGAAGTTAAATACATGAAAAGAATCTATCACATCTGATTACAAAACTGTTTTACTAAACTGAAAAAAAGGAGGAAATCCTTAATATTTAAGTTTCTTTTCCCTCACTTCCCAAAAGACATGGCCCGGGTATCCTATCGATGGACAAAAGGATAATGCCACTGGTCGTACTGAAAGATATTAATGAGATCTTTTACTGCGAGAAGACTTGCAAAAACTAAGCAAACGTGAACCAAAAAACTCGAGAACCATGTACCCTTCTCAAGATAATCAACAAAGGTCAAAATTCGTTCCACTTTCGATGGCATTAAACTTTTTTTCTACCAAAATTACGATAGCTTTTCAAAATAAGATACATAAACAATTTCAACCTGGCGAGCCGTCGGAATCGGATGTTGTAATGCATAAATCACGTCTGAACACGCTGCTCTTGCTGCTATTTACGTCATTTCTGCTATCCCCCATAACAAATTACACGTAACGTATAGATTACGCATTCACTCCCAACTGGATATGCCTTAATGTCGTTATATTTGTTATTTCGTGTGATTGCATCTGTTTCGAACAAAAAAAAATAAACGAATTTTAATTCAATGTGATAATAGAGTATGCTCAGAAAGAGGATTAGGCATGTCATGCAGTCTAAAAAAAATTGCAAAAGGATAATAGAGTTAACAGGAGATAGAGATTGATGAGAAAAAAGACAAGCAAAAATATAATTCCTTAGAGATTGAGAAAGTGTACAAGTAATCTCTTTTGCACTAATTATGATTAAGAAAGTAAGAAGAAATAGTAGCGAAATGGAGAAAGCACAAAGATCGATAAGATGGATGAAGGAGGAGGGAATTGGGAGAGAGAAAGACAGGCGAAGGGGATTAACTATTTGTATAGCTTCAACTTGTTGTATTGGGAAGTAGCATTGATTGAGATGTTGTACTTTTTACTGAGATTTCCCGCGATTTGCGAAATTTTTGATTTTATTGTTTGGTCCATTTTAGCGGCATTTATACGTGCTTTTCAATACTAAATTGGGGATAGCACATATGTTTGTTGCTATCGTTAAAAGATTAAATGCATTATCCATAACAAAATGTATTTAACAATTGATTCAGCTTTAGACATGCATGAACGTATAGGTGAATTGATGACAGTACATACCTTGTTTAATTCATCTACATGCATATATGTAATGTCTGAATGTGTATGTGTGCGTGTATGTGTGTGTCGTGTCTGTGTCTGTGTCTGTGTCTACCCGCCTGTCTGTTTATACATTGTACTTTTGTGTACATGAAAGGAGCAAGAAATATTTTCGGCCAACAATGAAATTTTGGGGGAATGGTTGCAAATACAATGGTGCTTGGAATTAATTAAACCTTCTTTGATCTTTTTTGAATATAATTTGTAAATTATGTGTTGTGTGTGTGTGTGTGTGTGTCAGCAGTGAATTGCCTATTTTCTTAAATCGAAATACTTTTAGTTATATATTTGTTAAAATATAAAATACTGATTCGTATTGTTGAAAGCCCAAGTAAGATCTAAGATATTGGGGAGTAATTAAGTAATGCAGATTTTTCTCTTTGCAAGTTATAGACTACTTTTTATTCACAATTTCTAGAATCTTCAACCAACGCAATGAAGGTATCTATCTTTGTGTACTTTCTGTTTCGTTTGACGATATGATTCTCTCACTTCTGTTTTGCGTCATATTTAGTGCTAAGAAGTTGATGAATATGCAACAGTTTCGAAACCGCGTCAGCCACTCTTCATTAATCAATAGAAAGTGACGGGAGGGTAGAATTTCATGTGTTCCCTTCCCTGCCTCTTAGGTACTTTGTTTGCATGTGCGTATGTGTTCTCTTATCAAGTGCAGTGCAAGATGGGATATCGCTCCGAAAAAAAGCCTCGTATTGTTCCCATTCTGTGCTTCGTTAAACCCAACCAATGCATATAGACTGATGTGTGTGTATGTGTGTAGTGTCTGTGTGTGTAAGAGCTGTCTGTCTATCTTATGTGTCTGTATGTGTATGTAAGATAGAAGAGGTGCATTCCCGCTGACGCATACTGATCGATTCCTTTCACTAAGCATATCAGTGTTTATGTAAGAACCCGAAGTGGAGCCGAGGAGCATTTATTGTGTGAAGGGTAGAGGTTGTGATAGGTTTGTTGTCGATGGAGGGGAGTATTGTCGCCAATGATATATCTTATCAATGGTCACTTTTCTCCCTGATCTGGTTTATGAGCGGTAGTTTGATAGATTACAACATTTAGATTTATCCTTCGCAGTTGAAATGAGTCAAGATCACGTCACCTTTTGCCTAAACAATATAACTAGTGATTTAGGAATATCTAACATACTTTTGTTTTTCCAGGAGCGTTTTCATGCACACTACGAGGAATGATTCAGTGTAAAGGTGAAAAGTAATGAAAGGAAATTTCCGGAAGAGTTTGATTTCGATGGATGCTATTCTCTTCACATACATGTTTGAGTTTACAACAGTATGGGAAAAGTTTCTCTACATTATTCTCCAAATTTTCAACAGTTAACCTTTTCAGTGTGTGGGACATGGGTTCTGCATTAGTTCTAAATAAATCAGCGATAATTCTTCAATTGGCAGAAAGAGAAAACAAATGTGGCGGGACCAAAGATTATCCATCACTGACTGAGCTCTCTACATTTCAGCGACTTACCCATTTTTCACCGATCTCTCCATATCACTCACATGGGGGTAAATGTTCGTATAATGATTAGCCTACTACTGCGCTAGGCTGTAAATATGACATCACAGATATGTAAATATTCACAATTATTTTGCTTCTCTTTTTATGGGAGGGGATGTAGGATCGAAGAATTTTTGTTGCTTGGGAGATTTGTATTTAGTATCAATGTTTAGCTTCCTCTTTAACTTTAGCATTAATGGCATACAACAAGGCACATAGAAATTAGGAACACAGGCATCAAGTATCGTGCGCTCTGCACTTCACTATATTCTTGTGTTGTATATTTTAATGAGTAAGCTAAAATATCCCATTTTTTTATTAAGAGGAGACGAAAGGGGAGGCAAAGCTTTTTCCTTGTTGTGTTATTCGCTTATGATGTTTGCTCAACGTGTTCACACCGTCTAACTTTAAAATCAAAAAAAAATTAAGCTGTTATCTCCTATCAGCTTTGTTTTATACAATCCGCTGAGACATTTTCACCGATTCATAATGAGCAAACCAAAGATTGGAATTAATGGGTAAGCTTATTTTTTCTTCAGTTCATTTTCATTCGTATCAGGCTAATTATTATTTGTGAGTTTTGTCACGTTAATATTGTCGAAACGGAGATATTTTCTTTCAGTTTGATGATTTTGGAATTTTTATCGGTTTTGATAGCTCTTGTAGCAAAGTTTCCGTCAAGTTTAGATTTGGTCGCATTGGTCGACTTGTCCTGAGAGCGGCAGTTGAAAAGGACACTGTTAATGTAGTGGCTGTGAATGATCCCTTCATCAACATCGATTACATGGTTTGTTGACGTTAAAGATATTTTTGTTTCTTCGTTTTTTTAAGTTCTGGGAACATTTCTGAGATTGGTTAAGGTCTAAAAATTTATCTTCAGATAAACACCGGAGAGAAGAAACCATTATAAATCATTATTTTAATGTGTTTATAAACAAATATATTCATCCTTCTGTTTGTGAGCAGATAATATTGATCAATCTTAACGTGTCATGTAAGTGTTCTTGTGAATTAATGTGAAATTACTTATTTTTCAGGTATACATGTTTAAATACGATTCCACACATGGACGCTTCAAGGGTAATGTTTCTGCTGAAGGAGGAAAGCTTATTGTAACGAACGGCAAAACGACACATCATATCTCTGTGCACAACAGGTGACTCCATTATTTGAAAATTTTTTTCCTTGAGAAAACTGAAAAGATCTATGACCTTTCTGTCTTAGGAACATACATGTTTTTGGTCACATTTTTGTATTCCAAATAAACCTTCTGATCTTTTTTAGATAATTTTGCATTTCAAAATTGTTATTGAGTTGTCTTTGAATGTTTACTTTCGAAAATTTAATTTAGCAGGAACAAAAACCATTATGTCCTTATCAGTGAATCTATGAATTCGCTGATTTAAAAGATTTTAGTAGTCAGGATGTATCTTTCCAAGCATTTGAAGTCCATATCAGTTTTTATATAATACGCGCATGTATCTTCTTAGTAGGAGATCTAAGATGTTTGGGTTAGAAGTAAATGATTTCCACTAAAGTTCCAAAAAAATTGCAGCAAAGATCCTGCCGAAATTCCATGGGGAATGGACGGCGCAGAATATGTTGTCGAATCAACCGGCGTTTTTACAACAACGGAAAAAGCAAGTGCTCATCTGAAGGGTGGTGCCAAGAAGGTCATCATTTCGGCCCCATCTGCTGATGCACCGATGTTCGTAATGGGTGTCAATAACGATAAGTATGATAAGGCTAACAATCATATCATCTCTAATGCTTCGTGCACTACAAACTGTCTGGCTCCATTGGCTAAGGTTAAAATTTTCTTAATGTGAACTAATATCTCTGTTTAGAAATTGTTTTAGGAATTTTTCGGAGAAAACAATAATGATATGCTGATGCCACTGATAATGCACTTTAAAAAAGTTGACAAATACGAAATGAGAAATCAGTTTTTGAAGAGTTTTTACTTCAATAATATATCTCTTTCAGGTCATCCATGACAAATTCGGAATCATTGAAGGTTTGATGACCACTGTACATGCAACAACGGCTACTCAAAAGACTGTCGATGGACCATCTGGAAAGCTATGGCGTGATGGTCGTGGTGCTGGCCAGAACATCATACCAGCAAGCACTGGTGCAGCAAAGGCTGTAGGGAAAGTAAGTTTTAATGCTGGATTGGAAACGTTCTATGAATCCATGTTTTGAGATCTTACTGGGAACTTGTCATGAATATGAAAGTTGCATCCGTAAAAGCAATANCTGATTTCTCATTTCGTATTTGTCAACTTTTTTAAAGTGCATTATCAGTGGCATCAGCATATCATTATTGTTTTCTCCGAAAAATTCCTAAAACAATTTCTAAACAGAGATATTAGTTCACATTAAGAAAATTTTAACCTTAGCCAATGGAGCCAGACAGTTTGTAGTGCACGAAGCATTAGAGATGATATGATTGTTAGCCTTATCATACTTATCGTTATTGACACCCATTACGAACATCGGTGCATCAGCGGATGGGGCCGAAATGATGACCTTCTTGGCACCACCTTTCAGATGAGCACTTGCTTTTTCCGTTGTTGTAAAAACGCCGGTTGATTCGACAATATATTCTGCGCCATCTGCACCCCATGGAATTTCCTTCGGATCTTTGCTGCAATTTTCAAAATGAAAAAAAACGAAACAAAAATTGTGAAAATTAAAGCAAGTATAAACAACAAGTACAAACAAGCAAGTATAAACAAAAATGTTAATATATAACCTGTTATGAACCGAAATCTTATGGATGCTTTTGTCATTTAATGAAACGACTAACTTGCCACCCTCAGCAGCTACCGTACCTTTAAAACGGCCATGAGTTGAATCATACTTAAACATGTATACCTGAAATGTAATCATTTTATAAGTTATCAATTTCTTATCATTACCACATAAGGTAAATTACTCACATACTTTTGATTTATATTATGAAAGAAAGTTATTTCCTTATGTTTGTATATAGGAGCTAAATACGTAAAATCATATTTGTTTATATGCATATGTGCGTTCATGTTAAGTATATGAAATGACGTGATCATAAAACGTAAAATTCCCACTTATGTATATACGTTAAACATATAAATCTACATTTCTGTTCTTATTTGCATACATATAAATTTATATGCTAAATTTCATACTTTTTATACTTAGATCTTTTTTAAACATCTACGTGTATGCGCGTTAACGAATCACGTTAAACGCAAGAAATTACGCACTTATAAAAAATAATTAAATGGATAAATTAATAGATATGTTAGATGATTAAAAACAAGCCATATAATCGATATTGATGAAGGGATCATTGACGGCCACTACATCAACGGTGTCTTTTTCAACTGCCGCTCTCAGGACAAGTCGACCGATACGACCAAATCTATAATTTGCAAATATTTTGAATAAAAATGCTCCTAAAACTTTTTGAAAAATAGGGAAATTTTAGTAGAGAAATTAAGATAATTTTAAATAAAAATTTTCTTTCAAATATTCAAAAAAAGAGCCAAAAATATATATAAGAAATTTACCCATTTATTCCAATCTTCGGCTTGCTCATTTTGATAAAGTGCTTAAATAATTCGAATATTAATAAAGCCACTATCAAAGGTATCGTCATAAATATATTTCTTGAATCCTAATTCCTTTCCCTTCCCCGCATTCCCATCCTAATATTCCCGTTTCTCGATTTGAGACCTCTTATTAAGAAGAGGTTATCATTTGAATATGTCACATCCCTGATATTTATCCTACCTACATTTATTAGTTGTATCCCATAATGACAAGAAAATTATCCCATCAAAAAGATTTATCTTTAAATAATCAATAAGTAACGCATTATCTTAATTTAAATTCCCAAAAGAGAATTATCATTTCTTCCTTTCCAACTCAACCATTAACATTCCCAGAGCAGTGAAACAAACTTTTCAATTTTCAGCTTCAAATTCCTTGATGAGAACGTTTGCATACTAATAGATGACTCAAATTTTCGAAAAACTATTGAAACTAATTAAAAATATAAGTTTTTCATAGCGCTAATAATATTCCATAACATAAATGATCGATGAATTGCAAGACGAAATCAGAGTGAGAATACTGAAAGATTGGTCCTCTCCCCAATCGATACCTTAGTAGATAGAGCAAGCTGACGGGAAAGAACCGAATTATCCTCTGATAAACTGCAACAATGAAGAAGACACAGTAAGTAGCGGTACTTAATGTTGTGGAGAAAAATACAATATGCAATTTTTTTGGGCAGTCTTTCAGATTTACAGTTTGAAATGCAAAATTTTTAGAAGAATAAACATTGACTTCGCGGAAAATTTGCATATTTCTTCTCCGGGAATGGGAAATCAATGCAGCTCTAACTTATAAATTCTGGAAGAGTTATTTCTAACACCACCTCATTAGACAAGGCAATGCCATGGAATAGATAGATGTATTGACAAAGTCATTGCCCATCCAGCATTTTAATATAATTTCACTTTCAATTTCTCACCAAATCAAAAAATCAAGTGCCAAATAATGATGCTGCCATCAAATCTTCGTTAGAATTTTAGTTTCTTAAGATTTTTCTGGATTTTTAGGCTTTCTAAAATTGATTTCTGTTGCTCCCGCAAGATTTAAATCCTTTATTCACAGCAATCACTATTGAAAGTTACGCAAAATATAATTATCGCAAATTAACAGTATAATTACCATGTTATCATACTACATTACCATATTCGTAATATACAATGTAATTGACAATATAATTACCATAAATCTAAATCCACTACAAAAAAAAGCATCAGGAATTTGGCTCCCATATTTACTTTAGTTATATAATTCAAACTTTTCTGTTATTTCGACTTTGATTCCTTGATTTGTGATACAATTGGCGGAGCTCCTTTCGCACGCTATCACTCACTGTTGCAAGTATTTCAGCCCTTTCAACTTTCAAACGTTCCAATTTGTCGTAAATTTCCCTAGCTGCTGGCGAAAGACTCTTCACCTAAAATATCTTAAAGTATTATTCATTTCTTTCATACTACATGAATTGCTTATCAACTTTGATTGAAATTTCATTAAGATTTTAACTAAATATAGCTAAACCGATCACTTCTATCCTTAACTGTAATAACTAATACTATCAATAGTAATAGGAAAAAAAAAATTAACTCCCATTTTCTACAGAAAGCTTCAACATTTGTAATAATAAATATTGAAATATCTACCTTTTCTTCAAATTCCTTTCTTCGACTTTCATGCTTTTCCAAATATTCATTAAATTCTGCGAGTTGTTTTCTATTCAGAACCTTCTCCGCTAGTTTGCTGAAATTTTGAACAGAATAATTGGAATGTACAATTTAATACTTAATTTTAGCTCTTCAGAAAACTTTAATAAGTCAAGCAATCAACTGATCTCATTCAAAAAAGAAACTGCAAATTTGATTGATTTCAATCTCAAATTAATAATATTTCAAACTCGAATATTTTTCAAATTTATATAGTCAAACCTTAGGAGAAATTTCAATACCTTCTTTATTTAAGTAGTTTTTCTCGCACTTATTTCATTTCTTATTTATAAAAAACTCTACTACTTACTAAGCAATAATGGATATCATGATGAGCAGTTGTATTCATTTCTATCTTAAGTTTACGATGCAATAATAAGTTTCAAGCTTAAGCTTAATTTTGAGGTATTATTATTCTTTTCAATTTCATTTTTAAATATTCATCACTTCCTCACTTTTGAACTTCGTAAAAGAATTTTACATCTACAAATAACAACAATAACCTTAATTCTTGCTTCTTCTCATTGTGAGTCAACGTTTTATTATGCATGACCTCCAGAAACAGACTTTTCACGGCAGTTGACGCATCTTTGAGGAATGACGGTGGTCGACCGAACACTAGCGCTCGTACATCGCTTGATAGATTGTCGATCTGAAATTTTGAACAACAAACTGTCAACATCATGACTTTGAAATTCATAATTGCAAAAAATTTTCGAAATGATAGACACAAGACTTTTCCATGTGATAAAAAGGATGAGGAAAAATCGCTAAAATTATCAAATATCAGTTTCCCTGAATCTATCAATTATCAGGATGACTGATTAGATTTATTACCATTGCCAATTCAGTGAGAAATAGTTTCCTGCAAAAAATTTTAATAACTAGATAAACAAATCAATTATCTTTCCCTATCATAATAATCACCCCAAAACAAATTTGATTGAAAACTCATAAAAACAATACTAAAACTAACAATTTCCTGTGTTTCGCGTCTCTGATCATTGCAATCTTCTCCTGATTTATAATCCTTCCACACCGATAAAACTTCTTTCTTTTCAACTTCCGGCAAATTACCAACAAACGGCGGTATACGGCATTGACTGGATGTCTAAAAATGATTCATAATTAATGATAGAAAGTAAAAGTAATGCATTGATTCTCTTCCTATTAGTGGAAATAAAATGAATTTAAGAAAATTATTCGAACAATTGATTATAATCAGCATTTTTTAATATTTCAAAAAAAATATATACACTATGGATGAACTGTTAAGATATGACAAGAAAATTTGATAAACAATGAATTCTGTTATATATTCATATTCGGCATCCAGTTAACTAATCTGATTTTGTAATAAAACATATATAAGGCTAAAAAATATGCTGTTGAAAATAATAAATGAATTACTGCTGCTTCGACGAAGAAACATGACGATAATAGAGATAAAAGTACAATGATTGATACTATCATATTATGTAACTTCTGCTCTCTCCTGAAAATTTCATGGACTATACTTGGTATCATGCAGGACAAAAAAGAGGAATCAACAAATACACTAATAAACATGGCAAAACTCATAATCATAAATAAAGTAAGCAAATTTTATTTCAAGTATCGATTTTTAATCTATGATTTCCTGTTGGAAATAATTCTTCTTAATAAATGTATAGTATGAAAAGAACTTTTATTTCAAATTTTTTACTGACTGAATATCATAAACAAACAGCAACTTATTTTACTTATATATCCACCTCTGCACCCTATAAAATTTCGATTTACTTCTTATTTGAACACAAAATAGCACCAAATACATTTGTATCAACAAGGCAAGCGAAGCAAAGGTTATGAATAAGTCACCGTAAAAAAGTAAAAAATAATATCAGAATAGAATATAACAAGCTGAATGCAATAAACTGAATTTAAATTCAATTGTTGAGGAACACTAATAATTTTATAGCTATACATCCTGAATTATGCGCTATACATTCTGAGTTATGCTTTACAGATAATCATCAAAAATTGCATACTACTTTGTTCTCTTGCCTAAAATTAAGCCAGGAAGAGAGCAATTAAAGCACAATTTTCGAAATGTTAGATGAAGACTAGTTACCCATCTAACTCCCACAATTTTTTATGCCATAAGTGAAAAATATTGCACTATTTAGAATATATATATATATATATATATATAGATAGATAGATAAATAGATAGATAGATAGATAGATAGGGAGAGAGAGAGAGACTGTTCTTATGACTTAAATTCATAAACCAGAAAACAATAATTAAATTTTAGAGGAAAAATTCATGTGTATATTGCATACTAATTTCAGAAAAGTGTTTTCTTTTTTCATGACATACATACACTGCCAATATCAATTAAAGCCTAACAAAAAAACCGATAACTAAGCATTATCATTTCCTTTCTTCAGTTTGCATATTTCTGTCTCCACGAATATTCGAGAATTTCAAGAATCGTCGTCCTTAATTTTAGGACATCTCTGTGGCAGGTGACAATGATCGCACAATAAACAATGTTTATATGTGCTTTTAACACATCGGTCACATCTACTGCAGTGTTTGCAAGTGTTAATCTACAAATAACAAAGATGATAAGAGTAAGAGTAGATAAAACTTGAAAAGTAAATTTTCTCTCTCACATTTTGTCACTAAAGAAAAACAAAGGTTGCGTATATTTGATTAAACATTTAAAAATCTCAGATTAAGTAAAAAAAAACTGATTACTTCGAAGGGACAAGTTTCGCAAAAATTGCAATGGACACTGGTTTTTACGACAAATTTCGCACACTCATCACAAAATCTGAAATTTTAACACATTGACTTTCTTGGTTACATTATTATTATTTTCTGTTTTATTTAAATAATAATGACCTATAACCAAAATCTAAGCTCTTTTTAGAATAAGAAAATGTTTATTCGTTATTTTAAAAACTCCATGTAACCAACTAAAAAGCAAATATGTGCAAAATATTCAAAAATTTAAAAATAATAAAAAATAACCTATAACTAGGAAGTTTTGACAAGTCGAATTCATTTAGTGGTAAATCAGTAAATATACGAACGATGGATTTATCTGGTCGTTTATATTTCGAATGATTTCTGTAGCAAATCTGAAAACTTTTTATATGTAATATCATTTTTTGTCTTAGTCGTTACAGTAGAAAGAAAAGAAAATTTTAGATTATAATACGGAACAATATTATTAAGAACTAATATATGAAATAACCCTTAATATATTTACCTTTCATCAAAAAACAGTTGATGCGTTAAGAGAACACAGAACCTATGAAATATATAAACATTAAATTCCTGATTAAAGGATTATTTTATTTTTGGTCAAATAATTTGTGATTTTGAAGGTGTTCGAATACTGTAGTGTTCCGACTTACAAAATAATGAAGAATAGCTAACCCTGTAGTCCAACATATGGAAATCATTGCAGTTTAGAAAGCGTTTTCCAGTAAAAATTGGAAGAACAATGATATTTTTGCACCAGCTATCACTAAAACATAGGAATTAAAAATGGAAATCCGAATAAAAGAAATAGAACCACTCGTTTCTTTTGTGTTTTAAAACTTACTTCAATTTGCCAATCGTAAAATTGAAGAACTGCTCTCGAAGCTTTTTTATTGAATTCATCAAGGCTTCTACAAAAATACCAAAAGGAGGATCACATATTATCACCAAACGATGAATTGATCCAAAAAATGTAACAAGTTTTCCGATACTTATTGGGTCGTAAAAATGATTTGTTAGCATGCTGTATACTGCGAAATGACTGGAACGCAAAAACGGTACCTGAAAAATCTTTGCTTCTTTTCTAATACAGCAAGCTGCTACTCATCAACTATAACTTTTTTTTGTCACCATGGCAAATTTATAAATACGTAAGTAACTCAGAAATAACACATGCTGGAAAATAAAAATGATATGGTTTGGTCGAAAAAATGTTTTTTTTTAGCAATTTCCAATATAACACTTGTGAAAATTGATTTGAATTTCAAATTTGCTACAAAGTTGCGACAAATTCTATTTCAAAAAAGATATTGTTTCTCCTAAAAGCTTCCAAGAAACAAGCGAACATTGTTTACACTTTGGCATAAATAAAGAATATGCTTTAAGGGAAAAGAAGCCTCAGGCAAAAACCTTACAAATCGAGCATCGATGTCCAATAAAAATGATTTTATTTTTTGTCGAAGCAATTTGCGACTTTGAAAATGTTCGAATACTGTTGGTGTTCCAATACATAATAATCCATCACAACCGGACTTTTTAATGGCATTTACTAATACTGTCAAAGATTCCTCTGTAAACCAATATTGCTGCAAAAAAAATTTTAACCCTCAATTTTTTATCCACTTCAATGATGGGTTACATTTTAATTTTCCGTTTCTGAAAGATTATTTTTTTCTATGGATAAGAAAAATTTGCATTACTTGGTTAGCGCATTAAGATATATATTGAAAGCTGGCAACATCAAGCGATGTTACTCATCATATATGATTACCGCTTTCACCAAACTTGGAGTGGTCAATCATGCTATGGAACAGACAAAATAAAAGAAAAAAACACAAGCATTAACACAAATGAAAAAGACAAGGAATTTAATCTAACAGAAATAAATTTATGAAATAAGCTTACACTTTCAGAATCATTTTGTGTGCGAGCAGAAAGCAGCTGCGAAGGTCTTCTTAAAGAAGATAATCCAAATGGTCCTTTAATCGGATGACCATGTGGCAATGAGAATACATCATTGCAAGTTGTGCAATAGTAAATCTTCTCACCTTTTGCTTTTAATAAATTCACTCTGCAAATTATCAAAATGCATCAAAGTTCAACAAAACTTTATTTGCAAAAATTCTAAATATTATTGATTTTTCTTTGGAAAAAACCAATCGAAGGCCTGATAATTTTCAAAAAAAATCAAAGTTTTACTATATTTAAACTGAATTTTTTAACAAATAGTATAGTGATGATGTAACGGCCATATGATTCATATTAAATCCGTTCTATGTATATGGAAATATCTAGAGGTTATGAATCAATATATATTTTCAAGGCATCATTAATTTAAAAAATTCAATTGCGAGCTCTGCAAAATAACAATAGTAATTTTCAGAAGAAAATTTACTTTTTTCGTATAATAGCGTAATGGAATGATGGCGTGGTATCTTTCAAATTGTCGGAATTGTTGAGCCAATTACTTGAAATAGTTTTGCAATTTATATTCAGTCGAAATGGACAACGTTTTTGAGACCGATAAACAGCACAGGCAAAAAATTTTTCCACTGTCTGTCCATTTCTGCGTTCGAATAACAAACAGGGTCCTGAAATGACGTCAGTGACAAAATGCTTTGGAATCACATTTAAAACCGATTTTTAGAGTGATGCAAATGGAACATTCACAATTCAATCAAAAAAGTCGTGTGAAAAAAATAAGAAAACTGCCTGAAATACATATGATCAATGCATAAAAATTGAAAATTTAAAACTACATACTACACAATATTTCCTATCACAAGTACCAATATTTTTTTACATTCGTTACGACACTAGAAGGGTATACATTTCAGAAAGCAATGATTTTACAAGTACTTATCGCCCATCCAATAACTAAGTTTGCTTGTTTGCCAATAAATTAGCTTTTAATTGTTCTTTTGACCACTCAAAAATTAATAAAAAATAAAATTTATAAGAATACCATGAGAACAACTAGGTTGTTGATAGTCAACCGGAGTCAGAAGTCGGAGACCTTGACGTTTCCGTAACAACCATTCCGACTTATTTTCCAAATATTTTCCTTTTTTTTTCCTTTTCATCCTAAAATTTACATATAAACCTTTAAAATAATTTATAAAATTTAGATTCAATTAAACACTGACATTAACAAGTTATCGTCCTCTCAGTTCAAGTTGCAAACAATGTATACAATGTAAAATATGTCAAGTAAAGCTTCATAAACTCAATTTTTACCGTTAAAATAAATAATTAAATCCCCTCATATGATAATGAACGACCCATAAATCCTAGCAGTTAATTGATTGAGAAGCGAACGTATCAAGTTCGAATTGATAATTTCAAGTTCTAGTCTTTAACAGTTAATATTGAAATTATATCTCTAAATAACTGACCCCTAATTATTCAACCATATCAGACAAAACAACAAAGTTACAAATGCAAGTGGTCTTAGATGATGTTTACACATAAGAAGTGAGAAATAGAATGGAATTGAGGAGAGCTAAGGATTGTTAAGATCTCGCAGAGAGCGTATTATTTTGAAAAAAATAGAGATAACATGAAATATGAAAGATGATGTACTACAAGGAATTGGAAAAGTATAAAGCATATTGTTAGATTGTTATTTGAGGTATTAGGCAGTATAATATATATCTGGTATGGGCGGTGGGTGATCGACGGGTAATTTCTCAGATACATAGGAAATTGTAATAAGTACATGGTATAATAGAACTTTCTCGAATGTGGGAAATTTCAAGTTTTAATCAAACTCTATCATAAAAATCTGAAGTTGCTATGTGGATATTGGAATGTACGTTAGTACTATAATTGATTTTTTCTTTCACACATCAAATTACAATATATTTTATTGTTTACTGAAGACAATGCTACAAAGAGGACTAGCGGTATTGAACAAAAACCAGAAAATGATAGCAGAAGAATATATCGTAGCTTCTTAAAATATTTATTACTCATTGATATGAACCAAACGGATCGAATTGCATTGAGATATGTTTATTCCTTGATTTAAGCTTAGAATAAATTCGAAGTGGAATTTTTCTTAAAAATGATTTTAAAGAATTTATTTTCAAATTATTTGGTATAAATTGTAAAAGTTTTAAAAAACAAAATTTATCGATTTAATGAGTTCAAAATAATAGCTTAAATTAGAGCCCAAAAATTTATTTAATTTAAAATCACAACTTTTTCACAGTATAAAGTCAGCAATTGTATCAGTGCTATAAAAGAATCTGCAAGATTCCTATTGAAAGAAATTCATAGCAAAAAACTACCGCATTCTATAGCAAGAAATCAAGTTAAATTTGAATATTTACTGAGATCTTTCCTATCTCATTTTATAATAGATTAAAATTGCAATAATGTGTTGCATTTAAATTACAAAATCACGATGTGTTTAGATAGAGATTTAGATTCCTTCAAATACAGAAGCATTACGAATTTTGTTATAAAATTACATCATATATCGATTTATTCCAAGATACATTGCAAATATCTTTTCTGTTAAAGTTTGGTCTGTCTTCCGTTCATTTTAATGCTATTAGTTTTTGTTCTTTTTTGCTTCATAAATTTCAATAATGATTTGAAACAAGTGTGAACGGTGAAATTTTCATATTTTTTGGGAAAATTTTCGAATTATTTTTCACGCTTATTTTTTATAACCTATTTATAAACAGAATCTTTATGTAACAAAAAATTTTCATTTACATTTAATTATATTATATATTGTTATATAATGGCATTAATATATATTTCTGGCAAAATTCAACTACCTGATTTTATGGTTTAGGACATTTTTGACAAGTTTGTGTAAACAGATTAAATTAAACTAATCTATAAATTCGATTCATTTTTCGAATCTCGCTTTTGGTGATGTAAAAAATTGATGTGAAAGAAGTCTTTTTAAATTAATTTCCCTTCCCTTTTATCCTATCACATATCGAAATTCATCAAGATGAAAAAATCACGCGCTTAAAGAGAAATGAAAGATTGATGCCGTACGAGAGGCATGAAGTGCAGAGAATGAAAAGAGGGGAAAAGATAATGTAATAGTGTGAGCAATCTCAAAGAAAGATGCAATAATCTGTTGGTAAGGATTGGAAGGATCTGATTGGAATGATTTCCTCATGGCCTTCATTTTTGATGATTAAGGTGGAAAGTGAGAAGAGATCACAGTTACTATGAGTTTCTAATTATGGAAGTTTTGAGTTCGTAACGCTCTATTACAGTTAAATTGAAGGTTTTTTTATAATTTATGAGAGAATTTAGCACCCAGCGAATGTGATGATGGTATAAAGAATGAGACTATTCGTTCGAGACAAAGATGATAATTATTAGTATAAGATGAATGATTAATATTTTTTATTTCAGATTTAACCTATCAGAGCGTAGGAAAAGGAGGACATATTAATAGCGGGATAAAACGACATATTGTAGGAAATTTTTATAAAATTTTGCAAAACTGAATTCTTTTTTAGAAAAGTAAATGTAATATGGATGTAGATGCAATTGAAAAGGAAGCACATGCAGCAGCATTGGTACAGGTTGCGCAAATGTTTCAAAGGCCGGATCAACTGGAGAAACTAGATGCATTCAAAAAAAGAGCTGATAGAAAAAAGGTAAATCTCGTCAAGGTTGTTATTTTTTTTGCGCCAACAAATATTTATTCTAACTCTAAAGTAAGACTAGATATTTTGGAAAGATTCACTAAACCTTTGGTTACAAAGATAGTAATAAAAATCAATTATTTTTTGTCTCATTCCATTTCTCATTTTAGACTTAAATCTATTGAAGCATATAGAAAGAAGTAATTTTGCGCAGTGATAGAAAGACTTTTCTTCTTGTCTTTTTTTTAAAGGAAAACCTTTCCACAGCTTGAAACAGTCATGTCATTATACCATTTATTAACAGTTAGGTTGATAAGAAGAAAGAGAAAAGAAATTGCAATGGAAGATGTTTTAGACTGCTGTAGAGGCAATGCTTCGAACCGGCGTACAATCTCAGCTGGAAGGCATTCGAACAGCCATAGGGCATTTATCTACAACCGTTGAAGATATCAAAGAAGTTGAAACAAGGTGATGATTATTCATAAGATTAGCAGTTATTTTAGGTCCCAACAATTTTTTCCACCACTAAGTGTTAGATTTCCTATTTTGTTTTTTTTTGAAAGAGAGGGAAGAGAGGGGACGAGAAAAGACTGTGCCAAGATTAAAAGTGGGCGATGATTTTTCCATATATTTGCTGTTATTTTAATATTAAGTATCCTTCTTAGATATGTTTCTATCCACCTTATTTCTTTCATTTTTTGCTAGGTCGAAATTTCATTATTTAATATTGCACGATATAGTGTTGTGTACATTATCACACCATGTAATCAACCAAACAATATTAACTTGAAAAATATGACACATATAAGTGAAAAAAAAGCTATTTCATGCTAATTTTTAACATTTCATGTTAGTCAATGTTATGTTAATTTTTTAGCTTAAGTTTATCTTGACCTGTGTTTTATTCTCTTATTTCTGTGGAAGTTTTTTTTGTGTTTGTAGTTTGCAGGAAATTTATACAACATTGTTGGCATTTCCTGAGTTGAAGCAGAAAATGGCAAAATTACGAGAAGCAAACATAAAAAATAGTCAATATGCAACTTCAATCGGACATTTGCAGCATATTTACAAAATCACTGAAACAATCGAAAAAACGCGCGAGTATATCCAAGACGGAAAACTGCTTCTGGCACATAAAAAGTTAGTGGATTAATGAATACAATTTTTCCTCAGTCTTTCAAGACTAACTGAGATATTTAACATAAGCGATAAAATCTCTTGCTGAATTTATACATAAATAATGTATATTTAATTTTTTTTCTTTATTTTCCGTTTTCTTACTTCCTCGGCAGTATTGTTAACTGTTGAATAACATGGTCGAGAAAAATGTTAGAGCATTATCTTTTTTTTACAGTATCATGGAGATGGAGCATGCACGTGATGATTTAATATACGAAGTGCATAAATTACAACAGAGCAATGTTAACTACGAGAAAAATGCATGTTTTTATTCTGAGAGTTCTATTTTAAATATGATTATAGGATCTTGTCTTTACCTTTTATCCTCCAAATGTAGTGTGCAAAACATTAGTTATGATATGATTAAAAGAAATCTAAAAAGGAACAAAGTTTCTTCTTACTTGCAATATGGAAAATGAAGACATCTGGGGATGTATAATTTTATTTACTTGGAATTCATATTTGTTTTTTAAACATTATTAAAAGAAAAGAAAAAAGATAGTTTTTTAGCTGTTGAAGACGTATTTTTTGGATCTTGATAAAGTTATCCAGGAACTTGCAAAACAATTGTGGTACATTTGTTCTCGTTGCCTGGAAGCAGTACGTGGTACGGAACAGGGCCCGATGCAGTTAGTTACTGCACTTCGTATTATTGAACGTGAAGAGAGGTATTTGAAAACATTTGCTTTTATTTGTAATTTAATTTTTTATTTGAATTTGTCAGTTATCAAGAGCAATATATCTGCTGGTGATGATGATAATGTAATCAAGCTTCGACCTTGCGAAATAAGTTCATAATTTTCTGTTTAGCGCATCGTTGCTAATCATAGTTTCTAGTATAATTTATTTTTTTATTGTTTTCATTACTTTGCATTATATTCTATCTGAACTAATTTTAGAATCGATCAATATTACATGAGTCGACAGTCATCTACCAATAACTTCATGCCACCTGGTAGACCCCGTAAATGGCGTCAGAAATGCTTGGAAGTAATTGCTAGCATAGTGAAGCAGCGAATTGAAGGTAATCAGTTGGAAGACCGATCACTTAACAGACAGTGGCTTGCTAGGTAATTTTTGTTACTTTTTTTTTTTAATGGAATATATCAAATTAGCCGAGAGTAATAAGTTTGTAATACTTTTTGCATTTTCTGCGTGACCATTGAGAAGTTATACTTTTAAGTTTTAATCATTATTATATTGTTAGCTTTCAAATGCCAAACCATTTTATACTTTTAGTATCCTAGATTGCATACTTTAATTCATTATCTTTATTGGCC